ATGTGCTACTTTTCAATTCTCCGGAGAACTGAGTTAATTTATGTTTAAGGACTATCAGATGGGGGACTGGGAGGGAGGTGCCGTCTGAGAAGCTCAAGTCTAAATGAGGAGCGAGTGTCTTCCGGCAGAAAAGGGTCCCCCTGGAAACGAGGATGTCTGCTGCGCAGGGAGCAGGGCCGGCCTCCTACACGCCGGGCCCCTCCCCCCCCCAGTTATTTTAATGCGACAGAGACGACATTCATTGTTTGGAAGCCAGTCTCTGCCGTAGGAACAGTGACACCATGGCTATTTTTAAAAGGGAAGGACAACTGCCATCTGTTGAATCGAACTTTCATTCAGTGGGAAGTTGGGGGGAGGGGGCCCACACGTGGTGATGCTCAGGGCTGACTCCAGGCGTGGTGCTCAGGGATCACTCCTGGCAGTGCTGGCAGTGCTCAGAGGACCTTGGTCGATGTTGGGGATGGAACCTGTGTGACTGCGTGGGAAGCAAGTGCGCTACCCACTGCACTATCTCTCTGGCCCCTCACTGGACATTTTTTAAGGATGGCCAGGGGTATGGGGCAGATGAATGAGTGGGTGCCTCACACGATTCAGGTCCTGAGTTCCATCCTTCTCACTGAAATGTAATGAAGGGAAGCTGAAGCATTACTTTGCGGAATTGTAATCTGCATCTCACAAAACAACATCTAGATTCTTAAAAAAAAATAGTAAACACTCCAATTACATAAATTTTTAGCATTTTCCAATATTTCACTTTAAGTTGATTACAGTACTACATAAACCAACCGTTTCAATATTCTTGGAAGGAAGATCTTATTTTTGAGCGTGTGTCTGTATGTGATGGATTTTTTTTTTTGTTGTCGTTAACTCTAAAATAAAACAGGAAATCAGCAGTACCTTAAATTCTAATCAGTAAAACGCTGGTATTGGCTCTGTTTGGGGGCCACACCTGGCGGTGCTCAGGGCTAGTCCGGGGACTGTGTTCAGGGGTCACTCCGGGCAGTGTTCAGGGGGCCACGTGTGGTGCGGGGGCTCAAACAGGCTTGGCCACATGCCCGCCTTGACACCTGTCTGTCCCTCTACCCCTAGGCACTGAATTCTAGGCACTGGTTGAAAAATTTCAGGGGGCGGGGTGGGCTGCGAGGCACACCAGTGGTGCTCAGGGCTTACTCCTGTCTCTGCACTCAGGGATTGCACCTGGTGGGCTCAGAGGACCACATGCGATGCCAGGATCGAACCGGGTTGGCCACATGCAAGGCAAACTCCTCATGCAGAACGCTCTGTGGAGGTGAGTCCCAGAGCGTCAGTCAGGAACTTTTACAATCTGCCTTGATTTTAAGGAAATAGGGTGTGTGTGTGTGTGCGTCTGTGTGTGTGTGTGTCCTATATGAATATATATCCAATATGTATACACTATAAATATACATTTATACATATATGTATACGTAAGTATACATTTTTTTGTTTTTTGGGGTCACACCTGGCGATGCTCAGGGGTGACTCCTGGCTCTGCACCCAGAACTCCTCCTGGAGGTGCTCGGGGGGACCATCAGGGATGCCTCGGAAATAGGATATCTCTAGAAGAGAAAAAAAAAACCCGCTTGCACGTCCCGAGCTTGTGAAAGGACCTATTCTGCAGATGAGGAAAATGTGACATCACTGTCCCGTGGCTCTCTGGAGGAGGCCAAGAGCCCCGGGGAGGTCAGCGTCCGGGCGGGCGCCTGGCTCTGCAGTCCTGTGCGGGCCCCATCGCTCAAAGCCTCATCGTGCGCAAGTTCTAGCTTCTTCGGATCTCCGTTTCTTGAGCTGCAAAGAGAGAGGACTGGGCAGCCTCTCAAAGGACGCTGAGAGCCAGCACTTAGGACACAGGACTTGGCTGGGCCCGGCCGAAGCTTTTATGATAATAAGGAATGAATCACAAAGCGGCCGGCGTGCCGGGTTCCCTTGGCATCTCGTGCCTTGGCATCTCGGTCCGGGCCGGCACAGAGACAATGTGTTTCCTGTCCTCTGCGCGAGGGCCAGGCGAGGGGCGGGGAGGGGACGGGACAGATGTCCTTCCCTGGACGTCACTCATCAGACGACCCTTCTAGATTTTTCCATCGGTGGGGGTGGGGTGGGGTTTGCGGACGGTCGTTCCAGAAAACACCAGGATAGCAAGCGAAGCCGTGAGCGCGCGCGTCCCCTGGCCCCTTGGTCCAGCTTTCCCGGGACCCCCTCCCAGGACCTGTGCAGGACAGCGGCTCCGGTCCGGGGTGCAGAGCCGGTGCGGCGCCCGCGGGGTGCAAGCGGGGACAGGCCGAGTGGAAGGAGATCGGTGCGGGTGCCCGGGGCAGCGGCGGGAGCAGAAAGGGGCTCCGTTCTCTGGGCGGCGGGGCTCGGGGGAGACCGGCCTCGGCCCGGGACGGCGGGGACCAGGCCCTCGGTCGCCGCGCAGGGACCGAGGATGAGGTGAACCGAGAGGAAGCGGCCCGGAAACGGGGCGCGGGAGGCAGCGGGCACAGAGCCGGCAGGACCAACAGAGCGCGGATCGCAGGGTGCAGTGTCCCGAGGCGCGCCCACCCTCTGAGGGGTGCAGTGTCCCGAGGCGCGGCCGCCCCCGCAGGGTGCAGTGTCCCGAAGTGCGCCTGCCTCCCGCGGGGTGCAGTGTCCCGAGGTGCTCCCACCCTCTGAGGGGGTGCAGTGTCCCGAGGCGCGCCCAACCCCGCAGGGAGCAGTGTCCGTGGTGCGCCCACCCCCCACGGGGTGCAGTGTCCCAAGGCGCGCACACCCTCTGAGGGGTGCAGTGTCCCGAGGTGCGCCCGCCTCCCGCGGGGTGCAGTGTCCCGAGGAGCGCCCACTCTCTGCGGGGGGGGGGGCGGTGCTCGAAGGTGCCCAACATCTCGCCAGATCTGGGAGGGTTGGAGGCTTCACGACTGAGTTCAGCAGAGAGGGGAAAGGCTTAGGGGCTCCACAGGTCTGCCCCAGGGTCCGAAACGCCAGATGGGAGCGTCCGGGGTGGGGGGGTCCCCGGGAGGGGGGGGAATCTGTGTTCTCGGACCCGGCGGGGCTGGCCCGCAGCTGGTCTCCGGCAGACCAATCCGGAGCCCCCGAAGCGGGTGCCGGCGTGCATGCCCCCGCGCGTGTGCTTGTGCAGCGGGACCCCGAGCGCCGCCCCCCACGGAGCCCGGCGGACCCGGGGAGAGCCGCGCGCGCGCCGCCCGCCCAGCCGAGACCGTGGCTCCGCCCATCCCGGGAGCGTGGCCCCGCCCATCCCTGGACCGTGGCCCCGCCCATCCGCGGCCGTCCTGCCTGAACGAGTAGGCGGGGCTCGGCGCCTTCCTCGCTGGCCCCGCCCATCCCTGGACCGTGGCCCCGCCCATCCGCTGCCGGCCTGCCAGGACGAGTAGGCGGGGCTCGGCGCCTTCCTCGCTGGCCCCGCCCATCCCTGGACCGTGGCCCCGCCCATCCCCGGACCGTGGCCCCGCCCATCCGCGACCGGCCTGCCTGAACGAGTAGGCGGGGCCCGGCGACTTCCTCGCTGGCCCCGCCCATCCCTGGACCGTGGCCCCGCCCATCCCCGGACCGTGGCCCCGCCCATCCGCGACCGGCCTGCCTGGACGAGTAGGCGGGGCCCGGCGCCTTCCTCGCTGGCCCCGCCCATCCCTGGACCGTGGCCCCGCCCATTCGCGACCGGCCTGCCTGGACGAGTAGGCGGGGTTCGGCGCCTTCTTCGTTGGCCCCGCCCATCCCCGGACCGTGGCCCCGCCCATTCGCGACCGGCCTGCCTGAACGAGTAGGCGGGGCTCGGCGCCTTCCTCGCTGGCCCCGCCTATCCCCGGACCGTGGCCCCGCCCATCCGCGACCAGCCTGCCTGGACGAGTAGGCGGGGCCCGGCGCCTTCCTCGCTGGCCCCGCCCATCCCCGGACCGTGGCCCCGCCCATCTGCGACCGGCCTGCCTGGACGAGTAGGCGGGGCTCGGCGCCTTCCTCGCTGGCCCCGCCCATCCCTGGACCGTGGCCCCGCCCATCCGCGGCCGCCCTGCCTGGACGAGTAGGCGGGGCTCGGCGCCTTCCTCGCTGGCCCCGCCCATCCCTGGACCGTGGCCCCGCCCATCCGCGACCGGCCTGCCTGGACGAGTAGGCGGGGCTCGGCGCCTTCCCCGCTGGCCCCGCCCATCCCTGGACCGTGGCCCCGCCCATCCGCGACCGGCCTGCCTGGACGAGTAGGCGGGGCTCGGCGCCTTCCCCGCTGGCCCCGCCCATCCCTGGACCGTGGCCCCGCCCATCCGCGACCGCCCTGCCTGGACGAGTAGGCGGGGCTCGGCGCCTTCCTCGCTGGCCCCGCCCATCCCTGGACCGTAGCCCCGCCCATCCGCGACCGGCCTGCCTGGACGAGTAGGCGGGGCTCGGCGCCTTCCCCGCTGGCCCCGCCCATCCCCGGACCGTGGCCCCGCCCATTCGCGACCGGCCTGCCTGGACGAGTAGGCGGGGTTCGGCGCCTTCTTCGTTGGCCCCGCCCATCCCTGGACCGTGGCCCCGCCCATCCGCGACCGGCCTGCCTGAACGAGTAGGCGGGGCTCGGCGCCTTCCTCGCTGGCCCCGCCTATCCCCGGACCGTGGCCCCGCCCATCCGCGACCAGCCTGCCTGGACGAGTAGGCGGGGCTCGGCGCCTTCCTCGCTGGCCCCGCCCGCCCACCGCGGCCGCCCTGCCGGGACGAGCGGCCGGGCCCGGCGCCTTCCCGCTGGCCCCGCCCACCGGGGCGTGGCGGCCCTCCCGGGGCGGGGCCAGCGCGGCCGGCCGGAAGCCGCCCCGCCCCGGCCCGCCCGCCCGGCCCGCCCCGCCCGGCGCCTACAGCTCCCGGCGGCCCCCGCGCGGCGCCCGTGACCCACTTCCCGGGCCGCGGCGGGCGGGCGCTGCCGGGCGTGGGCGGGCGGGCGCGGACGCGGGCGCAGCAGCAGCCGCCGCCTGGGCCGCCTGGGCCGCCGGGGCGCCGGGGCCGGCCGGAGCGCCGCGGCCGCCATGGAGGAGCCGGCGGGGCCCGGCGCGTTCGCCGGCGGCGCCAAGGGGCTCGGGGCGCCGGGCGAGGCGGCGGCGGGCGACGGGGCGGCCGCGGCGGGGGCGGCGCGCGCCCAGTACAGCCTCCCGGGCATCCTGCACTTCCTGCAGCACGAGTGGGCCCGCTTCGAGGTGGAGCGCGCGCAGTGGGAGGTGGAGCGCGCCGAGCTGCAGGTAGGTGCGGGGCGCGCGGCCCCCGGCCCCGGCCCCGCCGCCCCCGCCGCCCCCGGCCCCGCCGCTGCGACCGCCCGGCCTGCGCGGGCCGAGGGGCGACGGGCGAGGGGCGGGCTCGCTGGCCGCCCGGGGTGCGGGCGGGACCCCTGCGGGACGCCAGGGCGCCCCCCGCCGCCGCCGCCCCGGCCCGAGGCTTTGGTTGGACGAAAGTTGACGGGGGCGCGGCGGGGGGGGGCGTGCGGAGAGCCTCAGCGCCCACCCGGCCCCCTCCCCCTTTGCTCCCCTCCCGTCTGCAAATCTCTCCCCCCCCCCACTTTTGGGCTTCGCACTCCGATTCCCGGGCCGGGGGCTTTGGATGTCCCGGGGGGCTCGGAGCCGGTCCCACGGGTCCTGTGGGACGTCCCGCGGGAAGGGGCCTGGACGCTGCGGACCCTTCCCAGCTCCTCGGGTCCAGCTGCAGAGCGTCTGGGGGTCCCTGGGACTGGACCGGACGGGACGGGCTGGGGCGGGCGAGGCGGGGACAGGCCCAGCAGCTCTCGGGACACATTCCCCGGGACGCTCCGGAAATCTCCGGTGGAGTTTGCTGGAACAATTGAAGTTGAAGCCCCCCCCCCAGCCCCCCTTGGGCACCCTGTGTTTTCTTTGGCACTTGAGGAAAGGACGGGGCCGCGGGGCGGTCCCATGTGGGGGCTGCGGGACGAGGTGACAGCGGGTGCCCGGGAGCTGGTGGCCCACCGTGACCTTGGGGAAGCCCTTTAACCTCTCTGAACTTGCCTCCTTTATTGATTCAGCAGGTTTTGGTGTTTTTTTTTCTTCCCCTTGGTTTTTGGGCCACACGCGGGGAGGCGTCAGGGTTACTTCTGGCTCTGCACCCAGGAATCACCCCGGCGTCAGGGGGCGACGTGGGATCGAACCTGGCCCCGCCGCGAGCAGCGCAAGTGCTTTGCCTCTGTTCCGTAGCTCAGGCCCAAGTGGGTCCTTGTTGTTGTTGTTATTTTCCGAGTGCCCGTCGCGTGTCTCTCTCAGGGTCCCAGCGTCCTCCGGGAGGCCTGCAGCCGCAAGGGCCACCCTGCGTGCACCCACGATGCTGATGGCCACGGGGACGTCAGGGTCACAAACTGCAGGAGTGGCAGCTGTGGCCCCTGGGGGGCTCCGGGGAGCCACTTGAGGTGGGGAGTGAGGAGAGGGAGGCTCCGACATCCCCCCCCCCCCCCCCCCCCCCCCCGCCCCCTTCTGATTCTTGGTGTCACCAGCTCCCTGTTGCTTCCTTGGGCGACTTGCACGCCTGGGGCCTGCGTCCAACCTGACCGCTGTCCTGCTCACCCATGGCAGTGTCCTCGGAGCGAGCCAGTGCGCTGTCGCCTCCAGAAAGCGTGATCTTGAGTGTCGCCCGGTTCTGGAGAGGCGCTTTGCGGCTGCTGCAGCTCTTTCTTCTCTAATTTAGGGGATGTGGTGGCTGAAGGGGGGTCAGCGAACACCTTCCGGCATCCTGCTCGTGGGAGCTCGCTCCCCTTTCTGTCCTCTGCCCTCTCCTGCCTCGTTGGCGACTTTTCGCTGAGCTCTTAACTGGAGTCACGCTTCGCTTTCGTGTGACATACGACTTCCTGTGTCGTTAAGGCCGACATGTCGTTGGACCACGTGGGGATGGAACCTGGGTTGGCCGCGCGCAAGGCAAGCACCCAGCAATCTCTCTGGCCCCATTTTGGGTTCTGGGGCCACACGGCAGCGTTGCGGGGTCCGGTGGCTGTCCCAGACTGTTTTGGGGCCACAGCCCCAGGTGCCCAGGGACAGTGTGGTGCCGAGGGTTAAACTTGGGGCTCCGGCCCCGTCAGTCATCTCCTGGACTACAGGACACATTTTTCACAGTATCTTTTGGTTTCTGCTCAAATTCAGTTAAGCATCCACAGGAAAAGTTCAGAATTGTGTTGTAGTTCCCAAACAGAACAAGCATGATGGATCTTTATTTTTTTTGGGGGGGGTGGGCTAGGAGTTAGTAGGAATCTGTGGTCGTTGCGTTTCAGTTCTTATTAGCAGAATTGAGAACACGTTTCCCCGTCATTTCTTTGCATCAGTATCATTGCACGTGAACATGACCCTTTTTCCTCGTCATTGGAAATTCTTGAAGGGAAACGTGGGAAGAGCTGAGTGGTGATGGGATTTGACGGCTGTGGCCTCCTTGTGGTGTTTCCCTCTCTTCCACCGAAGGTGCCTTTAAGCTGCCGAGTCCTTTGGAACCTGTTGGTCCTGCTCGTTCACCCGGCAGGACTGCCTGGCCTTCACCGCCTCCTCCGCCTTCAGTCCTTGGGGAAGGATCTGGGCACGTGTGCCAAGAACCTTGTCCGTTTCCACCCTTTGCCCATCTTAGATACTCTAAGGCTCCCTGTTAACTTCCGGTAGCCCCATCCCCGGCCCCGTTCAGGCGGGAGAGCAGGTGACTGGGGCTGGCCCGGCACCTGTCCCTGTTGTCAGGGGAGCGGGTGGGGCGGGGGCTGTGAGGATGCTGGGGCTCTTGTGCGTCTCCAAGCATCTTCTTTACGTTAGTCCCTCTTCTTGGCCCTGGGGAAACAGCACCGAGTGAGATGGGTAGGGGCTGGGAGACGGTGCAGCGGGTGGGCGCTCGCCTTGTGGGGCTCTGTCTTGGGGATCACTTTTTTGCGGAGGGCCCCTCCCCCCCGCAGCGGTGCTCAGAGGTGACTCTTCTGAGGTCACTCCTGGTGGTGCTTGGGCATTGAGCGGGGCCAGCAGTGTGCAAGGCAAGAGTCCTCCCCGCTGTGCTCCTGCCCAGGCCCCTGCATGCAGCCGATCCGGGTCTGATCCCCAGCACTATCCCCAGGACTATATCTCGGAGCACAGAGCCAGGAGTAAGTCGAGCAGCACAGGGTGTGGGCGCCAAATCCAAATGGAACCAAAACCGAAAAACCCACCAAAGAAGTGGGAGGGGCGTCCGCATCCGGAGGGGGCGACACGGGAATGCACGCCAGCTCGTCCGAGGTCAGGAAACCGTGCCCGGGGGTGGCGGGGAGCAGCCTGGGGAGAAGAGGGAGCCTGCTGGGGTTGCCCGGGGCCGGCGGGAGGCCGTGCGTGTTCTCTCTCCAGCATCGCCCGGTGTGGCCCCACACTGGCTGGGAACCTTGCAGACGCGGGTCGAGGAGGTGAGCGGCAGCGACGAGGCCGGGCTGTGGGTCTGGCCCGTGGGCAGAGACTATTGCTGCTGCTTTAGCCGGACGGGCAGCCCCGGGAATGTTCTGTGCCAGGCCATACCATACTTCAGGAGGAGCCTCTGTAAGAACTCAGAATAGGCTTGAGGGGGGAGACCAGGAAGAACCAGGGAATCTAGTTAGGAGGCTATTTTAATCATCTAGGCCAGAGATGAATTAGGTGGTGGCGGTGAGACAGGTGAATAGATATTTGGACACGTCGTCGCGATCTAATGGGTTCCGAGCGCGTTCTTGGAGGCCAAGCCAGGAAAATGTGCTGAAGGGGAGTCCTGAGGAGAGCGGGCTCGCACCGCAGAGGTCTGCCCTGGGCCCGCCCCAGGCTCCCCGGAAGTACACGTCCGCCACGCTGCCGCTCCAGACCTGACTCTGCTCACGTGCCACCAGGCAGGATGAGGCAGGGCCTTTCTGAGATGAAAACGCTTGAAAAGTCCCCGGCAGGGCCCTGGTACTCAACAGAGAGTAAGTACTGGAGGAGTAAATGGGACTGGGTAACAGTCTACACCAGCCACTCTATGAAAACTAACCTTTGTTTTATTCGGTCAATTATTTAGGGCGTTTGCCTTGCGCGCGGCCGGCCCAGCCGACCCGGGTTCGATTCCTCCGCCCCTCTCGGAGAGCCCGGCAAGCTACTGAAAGTTTCTTGCCCGCACGGCAAAGCCTGGCAGGCTCCTCGTGACGTATTCGATATGCCAGACACAGTAACAACAAGTCTCACGATGGAGACGTTACTGGGCCCGTTCGAGCAAATCGAGGAACAACGGGAGGACAGTGCTGTACAGTGCTTGGAAGTAACTTTAAACTTAGAGCAGGTAAACCCCACGGTGGCACCGGGTAGTTTCCTAAGTTTCATTATTTATCCTCCTCGTGTCCGTGATAACGGCAGAATCCTGAGTTAGGTGTTGGAAACGGTGTCGAGCGTCCAATGCGGACCCCGCCCGGGCCGGGAGATGGCGCGGAGGCTCGGCGCGTTTCCCGCCCGTTCGGCTGCTTGAGTGCGTGCCCTGGCACCCCCGGGTACTGCCCGGGTAGCCCCCGGGCCCAGCCAGTAGCTCGACCAGTCTGCCAGTGGGAGTTAGTCGCCCCCAGGTTCCTGAACCACAGGGAGCCCCTCGCCCCCAGCAAGGGCCCAGCCGGATCACAAACCCCAGGCAGCCCCGACAGACCCAACTGTCACGTTCGCCCCGTGTTTCCCAACTTCAGCGGCGGTCTTAGGTAATCTGGAGGAACTTCTAAAAATATTCATTCCCTGAGCTCTGCCCCAGACCGGGCCAGTCAGAACCGTCGGAAGCAGGGCTCCTGGCCTGAGAGCGACACCCTGAGCTCCCGTGCTCAGGGGCCGCCTTGGCCCTGTGTTCTGGAGTTTTCCTGGTGGCGCTCGGGGCTGGGCTGGGCCGGGGCGGGGGTTTGGCTGCCCTCTGGCCCTGTGGGTTTCTTCAGCACGCCCTGGCGTTGCAGATAACACGCAGGGATGGAGGATGTCGCTCTCCTCCTTTCCGGCTTTTACTTCCAGGTTTGGTGACTTGGCACGGATCCCAGGGTTCAGATGTGGATGGCCCCCCCACATTGTGGGAGCCACACCCGGGGGGCCATACCCAGTTGTGCTGGGGGTCAGGGGTGTGCCGTGACGGGTCAGACCCCGGCTCTCCCAGGCAAGGCACGTGCCCTGCCACTTGAACCACGTGCCCGGCCCACGACTGACTTTTCGAGATGACTTTTTGAAAGAAGTTGAGATGTCAGTTCAGTTGTTTCTATTATCCTTTCTGATAATAGTTGGCATTTTAT